GCTTTGCTGAAAGTGATTTGTATATTGCATTATGTGATTTTGGTCAGTCATATGTCAGATGCGGAGTTAATATAAGAATTCATGCTTGACCGATCTTTTCACGATGGAATTTATTATGACAGCAGCAGGGATTGCAGTACAAAAACATGCTCATTGTTCATTTTGCCATGTTGCAGTACCGCACGGCACTGAGGTAGTGCCACAAGACACTGTTTACCATGCCATTACACAGTGTACCAACATTGGGTGGACCTACTCTATGTCAATGCTTTGAGATAATAGCTTATACTTTATGAATGACGTAACAACTAATTCAAACAACGCCAAAGGGACTATCACCCAGCGAGGAATGCTGTTGCACCACAATGGTTTATATCAGTGTTAACTAGTAATTGCATAAATAATCCTAAGCAAGCAAAATATTTCTGGTAGCTCAACCTTGCCATCTTTACCATAGAAACAACAATGCTTTGGCAATCAATTTTTTAGCAATGTCAAATATTATTAATTTTTGTCGGCAACTGCATTTCCAGTTGCAAATAACTGAGAAAGATAACTACTGGGCACACCAGATATCAATGTCAGGACTACAGCGCTGCAGGCAAGGATAAGTCGACAATATCAGCATTTGAACATGCTCAACAGTCCTTGGGCAGGTTTTTCGGTACGAGATTCATGACAGTCTTCACAGCATATCGTGCTTTGATATTAACAATCTGCCATAAAAGCTGTGGCGATCACCACATTGTCCATGTCAAACAACCCGCCAAAGCTTCTCTTACGACCAGTACCAAGACAAAAAATCCACAAACAAGCAATTCATTAAAACGGCACCCAACACAGCGCCCGCGATGAGAATGGCCGGTTGGCGCCAGCTTTCGTGCGTTTCGAGATATTCTTTAGGTCTGGCTGTCATATGCTACCAGGTATCGCTGTCGTCACAAAACCATTCCATGACGCGATCAAACAATGACGAAATGGGGCGCATTTTACAAACATCGACATTTTGCTACTTGGGGTAGTTTTGAACCTTGAAAGCTTACTAATAGTTACAAGAAAGATTTGCCAGTCATATCTGATGCTTATCTCAACATCTTCAAATGTGGAGCAGTCCCTTTCCTTTGAGGTCAAGAAAATATTGGCCATCGACTTAGCTATGCAAGGTACGTCAGCACGAATCACCGCATCAATGGACTGCAGTTGGCTTTCAACCAGCTGAACGGGTTGAATGCAGGTCCTGTTCCTGAATCCCCTTTTGTGCATATAATATTGTGATATTTATGGCACACCTGGGCCAGTCCTGTTAGCTATGGCGGGCATGACGTTGGGAATCCCAATAACATAAGGCAAAAACGCCGTCGTAACCAACCGAGAACGTGAGTGGAAGTAAAAAGTCACGTACAAATATACAAGAACGCAATGACAAAAAATCAAAAACATCACGCACGTCATGGTCGGGCAGGGTATATCACGCGAGTAAAAATGAACAAGCGACCTTGTGGCGCGTTGAAGTGCTACAAGTGAGTCATCCCGTCCGCTACAGTGACAGTTCTGACACGACCCCTGGCAGCGATTCTGTCTAATAAGATTTTCCATGGACGTATTTAAACGATGGCGCATTGAGCAGCGTATTTACTAAGCCGTGGCATTGTGATGTCTGGAGAAGTTTTTTGCATTTAAAAGGATACCAATACTTATAAGTGAGCTTTTCCGTCATATCTAACGTTTGCCTCAATATCTCAAAACGTGGGAGCATTCTTTCAAAGGGAGTGTTGCACCTTTAGAACACGTTTCAAAAACATTGATCTGGTGGGCTCTCAGGACCTGTGTAATGAATTGCACTGGGGAGTAAACTGCCACTCACCCTGCGTGAAAAGTGCAAAAAAGGTGGATATACTGCCTTCGGGTGCGGATAGAAAATTCACACACCAGTTTGCCGAATGCCTTTTTGTCGACTGCTATATGACAAATCCCAAATTGGCGACATGTAAGAAGGTCGATTTTCGACTTTTTTGCCCAAGAACCAAGTTGCCCAGCGTATGGAGAACGTAGACATGGAAAACAATGACAACGCTCATCGCGTCTCGAAATAGACACCGTCAGTCCAAGTCGGAGTTGAAAAAAGGAGAGCACTTGATGTCAGTACAAGAGGCAGTGAAAAAAGATCTTTCCGCAAACAGGGAGTCACAATTCAAATGAGAAAGAAAAGTTGCAATAGGATGGGATATGAAAAGAAGTACCGAACTTACGGATAGAAAAGATGGTGACACCAAAACAGGTGTCACGCTTCCCTATACCATGTTGTAGGCAGCGTGTCAAACTGAAATGAAGTTAAAAGGTAAAGGAAAAAGGGAAGTTTAAGAAAAATACTTTCCCGTCAACCCCCATATCGAACGCTCCATCTGCACGCATGGCGGCACGCATTCCAGCTGACGGTCATGCTGACGACAGATGGAACAGGGCCTAAGACCAGTGAGGTATTGCATATCCTGATACCTTCGTAACACTGCAATTATCATAATCTAACCTCCTCGACTCTCACAGTTCCCTCTGCCTAACATGCCGGCAGGTTGTCGCCTGTGTGCGCTTCTGTTCGCCGAGTTTAAAGGGAATGTTCCACATTTGAAGATATTGAGTTAACACCAGATATGGTGGGAAATACTGTCTTGTAACTATTGGTGAACTTTCAAGGTTCAAAAACGACGCTAAGTAGCACAATTTCAATGTTTATAAAAATGGGCACCGTTACGTCATTGTTTGATGGCGTCACTGAAATGGGTTTTGTGACGACAGCAAAACCTTGGCAGCATCTGGCAGCCAGAACCTAAAGATACCTCGAAACACACGGAAAGCTGGAGGCCAACCGGCCATTATCGTCGCGGGGCATGTGTCGGGGGGGGGGGGCGCAATTAGTGGCGTGGGTTATTTGTGTATGTATTTTGTCTTGCGTGCTGGCCGTAAGAAAAGCTTTCGTGTACTGTTGGACATGCGCAACGTAGCGACTTGCCAGGCTTGTATGGCGAGATTATTAACATCAAAGCACGATATGCTGTGCTGCTGCTGTTGCTGCTTTGCTGTTGATTATTTGTCAACACCGTTAGTGTTGACCCCCATCGTCTGCGCAGAGCGACTTGTAATCCTGACATTGGTATCATGTGATGTGTACAGTAGTCTACTGTCCTATTGTTTGTCACTGGAAGTGGGGTGTCGTGCCAAAATTACAAACTGCAGCATTGTGTTTATTTTTGTAACGGAAATGTGGTGTCATGCGAAAATTAATAAATTTGTAACGTTGCCATGCATTCATTGTGAAAGCATTGCTATTGCTATGGCAAAGATGGTAAGGTTCGGCCACTAAGAATGCTTTTTTGCTTAGGACTATTCATGCAATTAATATTTAATCCTGATATAACCATTGTCGTGCAACGACATTCTTGCCGTAGATAGTCCTATGGCATTGTTACATAAATTTTTACCAGTCATTCATAAATTATAAGCTGCTATCTCGTAGGCTTAACATAGAGTACTCAACCAATGTGGTACTTTGTGTGTGGCACTGGTCAATAGCTTTATTGTGGCACTATCTCGGTGCTGTACTGTGGCATGACATTATGATCAACAATATTTTTTTCGACTGCAATCCATACCGCTTTTATAATAAATTTTAGTATGAAAAGAGGGGTCAAACATGCGCTCTTGCATTGACTTCCCATCCATATGACTTCCCTTCCCATGTGACTGACCAAAAGCACATGCTACAATATACAAATCACTTTCAGCAAAGCAGACAACCAATAGGTGGCATCGCTTGGTCAGCCTGCTTCGTGAATCCAGAAAACGCAGGTGAGAAAGATGCAAACACATCTTTCACTTCCATGGTCAAGCAACATGCTGCAGTCATTAGGCTGCTTTATTAAAAATGACAGGAAAATTTTACATCTGGTGAAATGACACTGCAAAAATGCTGACCTTGCACAGGGCTGGAGACATGACAAGTGCATGTAGTTATGGTTGGATGGGCAAAATGCAAGGAAGTGATGAAGCTGCCAGTGCACACAAGGCTCATGATAAACATATTATTAACTGCTGTCCAAGATACTAACAGCAATACTTTTCCACCTTTCTCAGCACCTAGCATCCCGCGCAAGTTGCAGTGACTATGATACTGATAACTCAGGAGCAATGCTCGCCTATTGAGGCAAACAGCAGAAAAAAGACTTGGTGTCGCGTCTTCTTTTTGATAATTTTGGGAGTGTCCATTTTTGAGTGCCGTACTTTTTTGCAGACAGTGGCGTTCTTTTTTTATAACATTGACCTGTGGCCTAGAAATAAGGAAAAATGACCCGTTCACGATGAGTGTTGCACAACCCGAAATTGCTCACGCTTGTGTTCGCGACACGCATTCAGCAGTAAAATCTCACTAACAGCCAATCATCTTCCGCGGACTGTACCACATGTGCAGTATCATCGCCTTTGCGAATGTAGCAGTGGCCATGCTTTTTTGACCATAAGCAAAACCTTGCCTGTAATATCACGGGATCTAATGACGTTTCTACGGCGTCATTAATCAGAATGTGATTTTGAAGTTGGCTGTAAATAAGCCTTTTCGTACTTTGCGGGCGTGTAAGTCAGGAACCAGAGCGTTTTGGGTCTTAGAAGGGGCGTACCCGTAAACTGCATCAAAATGTTCTCAAAATGGCTATTTCAGTTTAAAACGCCATACAAGTGTGGAGCATTCCCTTTAAGTGGCGCGTCGGCGGTCCGCCAGCTCAGTCTGTCGCAGCAGCAGCCCAGGCTCTGGCGCCCGCTACTCGCCGCCGGCGAGCCGCGGCGAGCC